AGATTGAAGGACTTTGTCTTAACTTTCTGGTGCTTCTGAGTTCTGATGGCTTGGTGAGTAAGGAGTTGCATTGCCAACCCAAAGGTAGGCAGTTCGAATCCACCAGTTGCACCACAGGAGAAAGGTGGACAATCTCTTCTCTTGTAATTCACAGCCTCTGAAAACCCACTGGAGGGTTAGGTATGAGTCGGTTCTGACTTGAAGGTACGTAATTACCTAGTGCTGCTGGAACAAAAATGTAACGAGTGAGTGGCTTCAAGGAGCAGAAGAGGGTGTACATGATCTGAGAGAGTTCACACAGGAAATCTGTTTTCATTTCACTATTCCTAAGAATTTTCTTTTGTGATGCTGATTACAATGTCACAATGTAATGCCACACTCGCCACTTCTGCCTAGTGATTTTTGTTTCATTGATCCTTTTCGTCTATCCCTTTTCTGCCTCCTTAGCTTTATCCTTGGGCAAATGCTACCCTTTGATCTTGTATTTGAATGAGCGAGGACCTTGCTGTTGCTGTTGGTCTTCTTACAGGCCTGTCTACTGTTTGGCTTAAAGTTGAGCCTTGGGCGTGAGCTTTGTTCCATGTTTAAAGGGTGACAGAGGACAGAAATCCTTTTTGTCTTATTTTTAAATTTTTCCATCCTTTTCACCCACTCTACCCAGGACCTTCTCTGATGATCCCTTCTTAAAGGGTAGTTGGTGGGCGGTGGGAGGCCACCAGTTCTTCTGGTCCTGGGGGAATAGAGCTTCAAGTCGCCCAATCATCCTTTGGACTAATAACCTATGCCTTTTTGCTTTTCTCTCCTCTGCTTTCTACTGGACAGGGAAAGACCAATAGTTATGCCTTAGATTGATACTCACTGGTGGTATAGAACAGGAATTTATTATCTTGCCATTTTTGGAGGGTAGAAGTCTACATCAGCACATTGGTTCTAGGAGAGGGTCTTTCCTTGTCAGTAGACTCAAGTTTTCTTTGACTAGTAGATGACTCTTCACATGATCACTTTCCTCTCCCTTTCCTTCCCTCCCTCCCTTTCTTTCTCTCTCTGTGTATGTGTGTTATTTTTATAAGACACCACTCAGATATTGAAGCTACTGTTGAGAGCTACATTGGCCTAGTGGACAGAAAGTTATGCTACCGAGCCCAAGGTGGGGGATTTTAATCTGCAGCTCTCAGGCCTGGTTCAAATTGTGTTTTTGTCAAACATTCTTCTAGGTGGTATAGCACTTGTTTGTACATTGCTGTACAGAGGTACCTCGTGGTTGCTGTGATACTAAACACTGTGACACTGATGTGTCAAATATGATAATGATTACCCATGGTGGACAGTGTTTGGTGGAGCTCCCCAATTAAAACAAGCGTGGAAGCAGGAGTGGCATCCACTTCCGAAATGGCTTTTCTCAGGAAATTCAATGAACAGTGCTCATGCCTTCCGTTCATGGTGTCACGATGAGTCGTCTATGACTCGATGGCACCAAACAACAACAACAACAACCGTTGACTACCAGAAGAACAAGCACGTCTGCCTTGGATGAGGTACAGCCAGAATGCCCCACAGACGTAAGAGTCCGGAGACTTCATCTTCCATCCTTATTGTGTTTTGCCTTTTTCTTCACCGGATTTCTGTCTTCATTTTTACTCCTCAGAACGGTTCTGTGTATAAACCTTTAGTTAGCTTTTTATAATAGTGTCCTTATACCGTAACAGTCCTTCCATAACTGACTCAGGTCACTCAGCACAATTCCCTCGAGGTTCTGTCATGTTGTGCGGTGTATCATGAATTTTCATCATTCTTTAGAGTTGCATAATGCTTCATTGCGCAAATGTACTGGTTTCTTTTGCCATTCACCCAATAATGGAAACTTTGTTTGTTTCTAGTTCTTTGCTAATGTAAACAGTGCTGCAATAAACCTGGTGGTGTGTGTGTCAGTTTGTGTTGCAGCTCTTAATTCTTGAGGTTATATGCCAGGTAGTGCGATCCAGGTAGCTGGATCCAATGGTTTTGTTTTGTTTTGTTTTTAATTTTCTTATTTTGTTTTATTTCTGTGTGTGTGCACGTGTATGTGCACGTGTGTGTGTGTGTGTGTGTGTGTGTGTGTGTGTGTGTGTGTGTGTACTGTCAAATCAGCTCTGACTGGTACAGGAGATTTCCCCTCCTTCTCCAGCAGAGCAACTGGTGGATTCAAACCACATACCTCTGGGATTGCAGTGCAGCTTCTTGCCCCTAGACATTTTTTAAAATGAATACTTCAATGACAGTTTACAGAAAATTTGGATTTGCATTCATTCATTGTTACACATTTTCCTTCCAACTCCCATCCCCAGCTTGCTTTTCTCTTTAAAAAGATTCTTTTATTGTTGCACGGTTTCCTCCCTCCCCATGCCCCTCAGTGCCATTTGCTATCCACCTCTTATTCTGGACTGTTGTTTTGCAAATAATGATAGATTCCTTTTAAGCAGTTCTTGCTCTCATCTGTTTTAATGCAGTATTCATTATTTATCCCCTCTTTTCTTAGTTTCCCCTCACCCTCATGTCAATCCCGTTTTATAACAGTGGCATTATGCAGTATTTGTCCTTTTGTGACTGAGATATTTCACTCAACATAATGTCCACCAGGGTCATCCATTCTGATAATATTTTATTAGTTCCTTGGTTTTCAGTGCTGCATAGTATTCCATTGTGTGGCCATACCACAGCTTCTCTATTTATCCATTTGTTGATGGGCACTTGGGTTGCTTCCATCTTTTTACTATTGTGACCAACACAGCAATAAATACAGGTGTGCATATATCTATTTGGGTGGCAGTTCTGCTTTCTTTAGGTTATATTACCAGGAGTGGAATTGTTGGGTCAAATGGTATTTCTATTTCCAGCTTTTTGAGAAAGCGCCACACTGCCTTCCATAGCGATTGCACCATTTTACACACCCACCAACAGTGAGTAAGAGTTCCAGTTTCTTCACAACCTCGCCAGCATTTGTTTTTTTTCTGCTCTCTTGAACTCTGCTATTGTTACAGGAGCGAGGTGATATCTAATAGCTGTTTTGCTCCAATGGCATTTCTTTTCCCAACTTTCTAAGGAAGCCCCAAACTACATTTGTGGTTTGCTGCCTTACTGAGCTTTGCTAATGTTGCCGGGGTGAGATGATACATCTTTGTTGTTTTGATTTGCATCTCTCAGAGCCCTGGTGACCTAAGGAGCTGTGCTGTCAACCCAGTAGTATGTGGTTCAAACCTACCAGTTGCTTTACAGAAGAAAGATTGGCTCCAACCTGCTGGAGGGCCAGTTATGGGTTGGTTCTGACTCGACGGTACATAACAAATAGCCAAGAAGATCTTCTCAAGAAAACTAAAGATTCAAGGACACCTGGCAACAATTGTAAGCTCTAGCAGTGAGGTTGTTAAAGTATTTGGCTGATCAGTGAAGGGTCATCTGTTCAAACCCATTCACCACTCCACCAGGAGAGAAAGTGGGCTATCTGCTTTTTACAGTCTTAGGAAAAGATTGGCAGTCTTGGAAACTCTAACCCTATAGGGTGGCCATGAGTCAGGACTCATGCACGGCAGTGGGCTTGGGACAATCTCCTTAGCTGTGATTTACTGAAGCACCAGCTATGTGTCAGTCTGACTTGACGGCACACACAGCAACAATGTATCAAAGGGGTCTTGGTGATGTACCAGTTTAAGAAACTAACTGTCCTATTCCACCAGCTGTTCTTCGGAAGGAAGATGAGCCCTCTGCTCCTGTGAAAATGAACAGCTTGGGACCATCCCCCCCGCCTCTGAGGCAATTCTTCTCTGCCCTGTGGGGTCTTTGTGGTAGGACATGACTCATTGACAGCTAAGATCAGTTCCCGGCATTGAGGGAGGATCAGAGGGTCTGAGGGCCAATCTCCAGGGTCCCACCATTATCTGTCAGGTCAATAAGTCAGGTTTATTTTGGTAATTCTGAGTTCTTTCTTTCCCACTTTTTTCTCCCTCTGCGCCCTGGGCAGTCTGTTCAGAGTGGTCTGTGAGTGCCAGCGCTTTTCCGGGGAGGGGAAGAAGGTCACCTCCTCTCTGCCCTTGGTGCTGCTGCCTCAGGAGACACCCGCTGGGGCCCTTCCCACGAGACTCCAGCAGCCCCCCTCCAGCTAGGCACACCGATCATAACAACACGGGACAATACTGGACAGGCGGAAGTGGGCCTGGGTGGGGGCAGGGTCTGGGGGAGCCTCAGGGGCCTGTCCCTCACGAACTGTACGCCTTTCATCACCCGCTGCCCCTCCTCGGGCCACTGCTGTGTCCACCACTCCGCTTCTTCCCACCCCACCACCCCCAGTGCGGCAATTACGGCGCTAATTAGGATGCTTTGATCATCTTTAGAAATGACCACGCTGGGGAAGGACTCGGCCAAGCAATTAGCAGTGGAGGGCTGGGAGCTGGGGGACCCTCAAGGGGTGGGGCTCAAGGACCCCCAGAAGCTGCCTGCCTCTCCCTTCTGGAGTGTCTGCCCCCAGCACTGCTGCAGCGTGGAGATGGGGGTCCCCCTCCTTCTGCACCCAGGAAGCAGAGGCAGCTGGCCCCTGAAGCCCCATCCCGTGGCCTGGCCCCCGGCCCAACGGTCAGTTCTTCTTTCCTGTCTAGGCCGCTTTGATGGAGCCGTGGAAACAAGGGCTCCTTTGACAGAGGGGGCTCAGAGCTGGAGGATGGGACTTCAAAGGTGAGAGTCGAGCCCCCTCTCCCACCCCTTCCCTCCTCCCTGGCTGCCTTCCCACACACCCCTAGCTTGTTCTTTATATAGCCCCCACAGCTCCATGCCCCTCTGGGCTGCCCGGAGGTCTGGGCCAGGTGAGAGATGGTGTGGACCAAGGGCCGAGTTCGATTAGCCATAAAAGTGCAGGCTCAGATGCTTTGACTGAGAGGAAGACAGAGCCCACAGTCAGAGAGACAGTGGGAGGCAGGCTCCGAAGGATAAGCGCCTGGAGGGTGGACCCCAAGGGGGAAGAGGGACCTGTCACCATGCTGTTGGTCCTGCTGCTGCTGCTGCTGCTGCCCCTCCCTGACCCGTGGTCAGCCTATGGACACCCTCTGTACCTGCGTCTGCCCCCCAGTACCCTGCAAGGTGAGCTGGGCTAGTCTGAGGGAGTGGCAGGGATGGGCAAAGAAGAGGGGGGATACCAGGCAGGGAAAGATGGGCTTGCCACCTCTACTTACACACACACAGGGACTTCTGGCCTCTACTGCCCAGCCTGCTAGGAACAGAGACCCAGGCAGAAGCTCCGGAGGAGATAGTTTTTCCTAAAGGTGTTTGGGGAGGTTTGGGGCTTAGCAGGGAGCCCTGGTGGCCCAGTGGGTAAGGAGTTTCATGGTCCCGAGGAAGAATGATGGAATGATGGGCAGTCTCTTCCCCTGAGATTTACATCCTCTGAAAACCCGTAAGAGGCCTGAGCTGCACTGTGAGTCAGTGTTGACAACTGGCAGTGTGTTTTGGCTCCAGCTGGGAGGCCCAGCAGCACAGTCTGGGCTCAGGTACACCACTCAACCATGGTTGCTTTCGCTCAACAAGCCTGAGTTCTGGGATGTTTTATCTGGGGCTGTGATTTTTCTTGTTGGTTTTTAAGGACAAGCACTTTCTAATAATCCCAACTCTGGGGGATTTCGGAGACGTCATGGCTGAGAACAAGCCTAGGACCCTTAGCTCTGGGTATTAAAAAATGAGCCAGGCCTGTTCCCAAATCTTCATGACTTTCTACCCCATGTCCCAACAGTAAGGTTCCTGCATGGCACAGATGGTCTGTGCTCAACTACTAACCTAAAGGTTGGTGATTCAAGCCCAGCAACATCCTGTCAGAAAAGCCTGGTGTTCTACTTTGGTAAAGATTACAGCTAAGGAAACCCCACAGAGCAATTCTATTCTGCAATCGTAATTGACTAGAAGGCATGGATTGGAATAGATTAGAGCAGGGAGCTCCTGTGTGTGGCCTAGTGGTAAGGAGCTGCACTAACACCATGAAGGACCGCAGTTCGAATCCCCTAGCTGCTCCACAGGAGAAAGATGAGCAATCTCTTCCCAAGTAATTGCACTGCTTCTGAAAACCCCTGCAGGGTCAACTATGGACCCTTGGTTTGGCCTGGACTCGTTCATAACGACATAACGTGTGTGGTTGGGTCTCAACAGTTCTGTCCGCACAAGGAACCAAAGCACTGCAGGCTGCCCAGAGGAGAGCCCGGTGGGCGGTGCAGCGGATGGCCAGGGAGATCCAGCACAGGCTGCGAGAGTGCCAGCCTTGTGCCAACCACAGCGCCCCGTGCCCTGGTGAGCTGCACTGAGTGCCCTAGAGCTTTCTCTCGCCCATTCCCATCCCTCCCTTTGGACCTGACTCTCCACCTGGGCACCAAGACTGGACATGGCTGGAAAGGGGGCGAGGGTGGGGCAAGGTCTCCATCTTTGCAGATAAAGGCGCTGCAGCACTCCGGTCAATTTTGGTGATATTAATGTGATGTGCGTTCACCCGTGCTCAACCAGAACGGGGGGTGGGGGAGGATGGGACACGAGGGAGAGGAAGGCGGGTGGAGGGAGAGGGAGCAGCTCAGGCCTAGCATGGGGTCAGAAGGAGCGTGCGGGAGGGCAGCAGCGAGCTTCCCAGTGTTTCTCAGCAGGCCCGCGGAGTCTCAGGCCTCCAAACGCGCTCCTCCAGGACACACCTGAGCCAGGTGAGAGGGAGCGGCCCACGAAGGGAGGAGAGGGACCCCGGAGACTCAGGGATGTCCCTTGTGACGCCGCTTCCGTTTTTCTAGGGTTGTGTGGCCAGCGGCACCCAGGGAGTACCAACGTGACTCAGGCTCATGGCCGCATCGTGGGGGGCAGCAAGGCGCCCCCGGGGGCCTGGCCCTGGCTAGTGAGACTGCAGTTCGACGGGCAGCCTCTGTGCGGCGGCGTCCTGGTGGCAACGTCCTGGGTGCTCAGCGCGGCGCACTGCTTCGAGGGGTACGCCCAGTATCAGACCCCACCCACCCCCCAGCATCTAGTCTAGCAGGGCTTTGGCCCCGCCCCGCCTCACCCCGCCCCATCTCAGGGTCTCGCTTGGCTCTGGTCCCGCCCCCATCCCCGCCCACAGGCGGGGGTCCCTGGCGGGTGATGTGCTCAAGGGCTGTTCCAAGGAACGCGCAGTGCATTTCACCGGGTCTGGGGACTGTCCCTCCCCTTCACCCAGGCTGAGAGGTGGCCCTGCGTGCAGCAGTCCAGCGTGCCAGCTCTCAGGCTGGGGCCTGTAGGAGGAGGGCTAGGGTCGCCGGGTCCCCTTCTCCATCTCCAGCCTCGCCGTGCCTTTGTCCTCGGCCTCACCTGCCGCTCGCCCTACAGCGCCCAGAACGAGCTTCTGTGGACCGCAACTCTGGCCGAGGGGCCCCAGGGCGAGCAGGCGGAGGAGGTGCTGGTAAACCGCATCTTACTCCATCCCAAGGTGAGGAAGTTGTCCCTGCGCCCTAGAGTTGGACGGCCTCCCTCCTCGCACACGCTGACCCGCGCGCCACGCCCTTCCCCAGTTTGACCCGCAGACCTTCCACTACGACCTGGCCCTGGTGCAGCTGTGGACACCCGTGAGCCCCGAGGGCCCGGCGCGCCCCGTGTGCCTGCCCCAGGCGCCCCGAGAGCCCCCCGCCGGCACCGTTTGCGCCATCGCGGGTTGGGGAGCCCTATTTGAAGGTACGCGGCAGGTAGGGCCTGAATGAGGCGCATGTGCTTGGATAGAATGGGGCTACGTGATGGGCCGTGGAGAGGCCTACCCCTGAATAAAAGCCGGCGGGGGTGGAGGGAGGGCCCAGACGGCGCCTGCCCTCCAGAATTGAGACCCTCACCCCTTCCCTACAGACGGGCCAGGGACAGGGGCAGTGAGGGAAGCCCGCGTGCCCCTGCTCGGCATCGACACCTGCCGGCGTGCCCTGGGGCCCGGACTGCGCCCCAGCACCATGCTCTGTGCCGGCTACCTGGCGGGGGGCATCGACTCGTGCCAGGTGTGAGCCCAGACTGATTGGATGCCGGGTGGGCTGCTCCCCAAGAAGCTTCCTTGCCTTCTGCTCTCAGGCTGTCTGTCACCCAACTCCTCTGAGTCTCTAGGTCCTGTTACTAAAATGGGTGCAAGAGTGGAAATCTGTGTTGAGTTTAGAGCAGGTGTAAAGCCACACGGGAAAGGGGGTGTCACATTCCGTGCCTTCCCCTTCCGGCTCGGTTCCTCACAGGGCGACTCCGGAGGGCCCCTGACCTGTTCCGAGCCTGGCCCACATCCCAGGGACGTCCTATTCGGAGTCACCTCCTGGGGGGATGGCTGCGGAGAGCCGGGGAAACCCGGCGTCTACACCCGCGTGGCTGTATTCAGAGACTGGATCCTGAAGCAGATAAGTGGTGAGCGCTCCTTTCCCTTCCGGGGCGTCCCACCCCGTCCGCTCCAGTCCCCCTGCGTGAAGAATGCAGACAAGGGGCGAGTGAGCTGGCCCCTGTCCCCATTCGCAGCGGTCCCCTCCAGCCGCGAGCCCAGTTGCAGGGAGCTTCTGGCCGAGGACCCGCCCGAGGAGGCGCACGCTGCCGCGGCCCCTGCCTGCGCCTTCTACGCGCGAAGGTGCGCGGGTCCTGGGAACGCCTGTGCGCGCCTGGCGCACCAACAGTGCCTGCAGCGGCGGCAGCGATGTGGTCAGTCCCTGCCCCGGGGGTGGAGAGCCGGGGAGCAAGGCGGCCGTGTCCCGTCTGACCCTGCCCGGGCCTTTGTCTCGCCGGCAGAGCTGCGTTCAATGGCACACACGTTATTGGGCCTGCTCCGGGGCGCCCAGGAACTACTCGGCCCGCGCCAGTGGCTGCGACGCCTGGCTCCAGTGGGCCCCTCACCGTGGCTTCGGGAGCTGCCACGGGCAGGTACCCCACGTCCCCACAGCCCTGCGGGGTCCTGTCCAAGTACAGCCGAGCTGCTTCTAACCCGGTGGCTCCGCAGGTTCAAGTGCAGCAGCCGCGCGCCCCCGGAGGCCAAAGCCGGAGCTGCACGCGAAGGAGCACGGTAAAGGCGCCCCTGCCGGCTGAGGGGCACGTGGAGACCCCCAGGGGCATCTCCTGGGGTCTGCGCGGGGGTGCAGGGCAGACCATCCTCCCCATGCCTGGAGAGGGACAGACGACTCCGAGTGGGGTAGCTGTGAGCCCTCCTTTGTGTCTGCGTGAGCCTCAATTTCCTCACTATCAGCACTGTGCTTGGGAAGCCCCTCCCTTCTCAGCTCCACGCTTCCTCACTAATTGCTGACCCCTCCCCTGCTGCCAGGCTGCCCTGGGCTGGAGTCCCTACAACAGAAGTTGGCAGCCCTGCAGGACACCCACGCGTGGATCCTGCGCGTGCCCTCGGAGCACCTGGCCATGGACTTCCACGAGGTCAGTGACTCAGAGCTGGCTGATCTGGAGGTGCTAAGGGCTGCAGGGAGAAGGGGTGCCCACCCCGTAATAGCCTGGGTGTGCCTCTGCTCAACTCCGAGATGGAGAGTGTGGAGGAAGGGCATGGGGAAGACAGCAAGCAGTGTGTGAGCTGGGACTTTGAGGGGGCGAGTCCTGAGTGGAGGCCTTCGGGGGTATTCACATGAGCAGAGTCATGAAGGTGGGGGATTTAGGGGCTGTGAGGAGGGAGGTGATGGGTTTCCCCACTTATCCTTGGCTCTGCACCTCCTCCCGATGCAGGTCCTGGCTGATCTGGGCTCCAAGACGCTGAGTGGATTATTCCACGCCTGGGTGCGTGCTGGCCTGGGGAGCCGGCAATTAACCTTCAGTGGCCTGGTGGGGCTGGAACCGGCGACCCTGGCAAGGAGCCTCCCGCGGCTGCTGGCCCAGGCCCTGGCGGCCTTCCGTTTGGCAGCTCAAGGGGGGAGAGAGCCAGAGGGATCCTGGAGGAGCAGGAGGTCGGACTAAGGCCTGAGGGAGAGCAAGTAGCACTTCTCTGGCCATCAGCTTGTAAAGCCGAGCCTGGCCTGGACCCTGGTCAGCACTTCCTGCTCCTGGACTGGATCTTGACTCCCTACTATGGCCAGTGTGGCTGGGCCACAGTGTCTGGGAGTGCTGTGGGGTACCATCCACACAGTGTCACAACTGCTTTTTTTTATTTTATTTTTTTATTTTTATTTTTATTTTGTGTGCGTGTACCATCAAATCAGATCTGACTGGTACAGGAGGATATTGCACCTCCTTCTCCGGCAGAGCATCTGGTGGATTCGAACCGTGTTCCTCTGGGAGTGCAGTGCAGCTTCTTGCCACTAGGCCACCAGAGCTCCCCACAACTGCTTTAATAAACGTTATTTATGATCTCTAGAGACAATGTGAGCTTTCTTGGGGTAGGATCCAGCGAAGATGGACAGTGGGTCTCGGGATGGAGGCTAGACTGGGTGCACTCAGAAAGCAGCTGTTGGGGGAGGGTGACAGGGAAGCTGGGAAGGTCATCAGCTCCCCCATCTGAGCACAGCTGTCTACAGAAGCCAAGAAATGGCACCAGCTGGGCTGGCCATCACCCCACACGCCCGACCATGTCTGATCGCAGTGCCCCAGTGTCTGGTGGGTGTCCCCACCCAGCCCTGACCCCTGCCACAAGCTGTGAGGACTCCTAGCCCTGGATCCTTGCCTCCTGTCCTTGGGCTCCTCGCTGGCTGACCAGCCCCGACCCCACCCCCATGTCACCAGCTTCTCTACCAGGCAGTTAAGCCTAGAAGTGTCCAATTGCATTTCCGGCTGCTCTTCCCTCCGCCCCCACCCCCACACCACCCGCACCTGTCCCCTCTTCTCCCACTCACATTCCCCAGGCCCTCAGGCCAAGGACAGGAGGGGCAGACAGAACCCTTAGCCAGAGGAACAGGATGGAGAGGCCTGTGCTGACGCTGGGGCTGCTGGCCACCCTGGTGGTATGTGGTAAGAGTGGCCATCCCTCCCTGGGGGTCCCCCATTGCACCCGCTCTGCCTGCATCACCCCTGACTGTGTTCTGAGTGCCACTCCCAGAGAAGGAGGAGTCATCCCCCCGTGTTCCGCTGGCCCTAGGGCTTGAAGGACTTCAGGCAGGTTCTGTCCTGAGCCCCCACAAGTGCCCCCATGTGTCCTCCCAGGCAGCCACAGCATGAACGAGGAGGAGCGGCTGATCCGGCACCTCTTTGAGGAGAAGCGCTACAACAAGGAACTCCGGCCTGTGGCGCACAAGGAGGAGAGCGTGGTCATCACGCTGGCCCTCACCCTCTCCAATCTCATCTCCCTGGTGAGAGTCCCTCCTGACCCTGGGCCAGGGAAGGGCGAGGGGGAGGGGGACACCGCAGAGGAGCGGCCTGGAAACCATGCCCACGGTGCCCACCCTGGCTTCAGCTCTGCAGCGTCCCCCATTCCAGACCATGACACATTTCTGAGGCCGTTTGTCTTCCTTGTTCACTGCTTAGCCCACCCCTGCCTACAGGAGCAGGAGCTGGGGCAGGACATGTGGCTCCCTGGTGCCCAGGATGTGTGTGGTAGAGGTCTCTCTGCTGGGCGCCATGCCCAATCTGATCGGAGTCCACTCCCTCACCATGGCCCTCTCTTACGAGTCCCCTCCTCTGATGTTACAGAAAGAAGTGGAAGAGACCCTCACCACCAACGTGTGGATCGAACATGTAAGAGACACTATTCAGAACTGCACCTACCACATGCACACCCCCTCTGGGGTCCCCAGTCTGTCCAGAGGAAATAATGCAGCCAACAGAGGGACCCCTCCTCACTACAGAGCACGCCTTTGAGCCAGTTAGGACACTTACCCATCGGAAGATGGGCACAGCACTGCCCTCACTAGCGGGGAGCCGGAAGTTCAATGCTTCAGTGTCCGCAGTGGGAACACTCCCTCCTTACACAGTGCACATCCTGGCCAGCTGGGCATGGCACATCTGAGTCCCCATGGTGTCTACCTGCCTCAGACCTCTCTGTCGCAGTTCCCAGTCCTTGTCCAGGCTGACTCTGGGGAGGGAAGAGGGAGTGGGAGGCGCTGGGGTGCTGGGATAGCAGCAGGCCTCCTGCTGACTGCCTCTGGGGCTTCCAGGGCTGGACGGACAGCCGCCTAAAGTGGGACGCCGAGGAGTTTGGGAACATCAGTGTCCTGCGTTTGCCCTCGGACATGCTGTGGCTCCCAGATATAGTGCTGGAGAATAAGTTGGGCCGAAGCCCTGTCCGCTCCCCCTTTCCATCCACTGCCCTGCCTTGTGTCCTGGCCTCCCCTGCACCCTACCTTCCCTGCCGCCAGCCCTGCCCACCCTCCCCTGCCCGCCCCCGCCCCGTTGCCCCAGCCCTGCCACCTCCCAGCTGGCAAGCACTCACTGTTGGCCCTGTCTGTCCCCAGCATTGACGGCTCCTTCCAGATTTCCTACTCCTGCAATGTGCTCATCTACCCCTCAGGGGAAGTGTACTGGCTGCCGCCTGCCATCTTCTGCTCCTCCTGCCCCATCTCTGTCACCTACTTTCCCTTCGACTGGCAGAACTGCTCCCTCAAGTTCAGGTGCACCTACCTCTCCAGCCACTCCCACAAGGGGCACCCTGCCTAGCCCAGGAAGGAGGACGAGGACCAGTCTGATGAGGGTCCCCTCCCCACATCATGGCCCACCTCTGGTCCCTCACTCATCTCCTCCTCCCACCTGCCCCCCAGTGGCCCAGCGGTGCTGGGTGTTGACCTCCGCCTTCTGCCCTCCCCAGCTCACTCAAGTACACAGCCAAGGAGATTACCCTGAGACTGAAGCAGGAGGAAGATGAGGAGCACGGCTTCTACCCTGTGGAGTGGATCATCATCGACCCGGAGGGCTTCACAGGTGGGCGGACGCCCCCAGACAGACACACCTCCATCCTCCCAGAGACACAGGGTGTACTTGGGGAGAGAAGCTTGACAACTGAGACCATCGATGGTCTCATCTACTCCGACCACTAAGCTAAAATGTACTGGGAGACAGACATCCCCTAGATGGGACAGCCACCGCATGAGAGACTCCTGCATAGAAACACCCCCAGATAGACACCCCCACTGAGGGAAACCTCTACTGAAAGACACCATCCCATGAGCCCCCTCAGATGAACACATCTGCAGATAGACACCCCAACAGATGGACACCTCCACAGATAGACACCCCCCAAATAGACACCTCCACTGATGGAAACCTCTACAGATAGACACCTGCCCGTAGATGGACACCCACACAGATGGACACCCCCACAGATAGACACCCCCCAGATAGACACCTCCATTGAGGGAACCTCTACAGATAGACACCCCCACTGATGGAAACCTCTACATAGACACCTCCCCATAGATGGACATCCCCACAGATGGAAACACCCACAGATAGAGACACCCAACAGATGGGTACCTCCACAGGTAAACATACCCCAGATAGATACCTCTACTGATGGACACCTCAGAGATGAATATCCCCATAGATAGACACCCCACAGATGGACACCCCCACTGATGGACAGCCCCCATGTACACATCCCCACAGATGGACACCCCTACAGATAGACACCCCCACTGATGGACAGCCCCTATGTAGACATCCCCACAGATGGACACATCCCACAAATGGACACACCCACAGATGGACACCTCCACATATAGATACACCCCACAGATGGACAACCCTGAAGGTGGACACATCTACAAATGGACACACTCCTAGATAGACACCTCCACGGATGGACACACCCCACAGATGGACATCCCCACAGACATCACACCCCACAGATGGATGCTTCCACAGGTGATTGCTCCCACAGATAGACACCCCCCCACAGACACCCACAGATAGACACTCTCACGAGGAGATATATCCAGACAGAGACATACCCCCTCACAGATAGACATACTTCATAGCTGGATACCTCCATGGGTACTTGACATAGACACTCCTCATGTACACCCCCAGTAGAGGGTCCTCACAAAGGGTCACCCCCAGATAGATGCTCCCTTAGATAGACACCCTACAGGTAGACACCCCACACATGCTGTGCACAGGACCAGCTTTGCCACTCCCAAGCTAGATACCTCTCCAAGCTGGGCAGGGGCCTTGAGGTACACGTGGCTGGTGGCTGGGGCTACACTTTCCTGCTCTGGGAAAGCCCAGAAGGGCATCCTGACCTCCCAGTGCCACCCCATCCTGTAGTCCACCCTGGCCTGTGACCAGGCTCAGATTTTTAGGGTTTCCCCATTGCTCACCCACTAATCAGAAGAGACCCAGGTCCCGTTGTTCTCAAGGCCGGGATACCGTGGCAGGCGGAGGCTGTACCGGGCTCGCCCCACGACCGGGCCGAGGAGGTGGCCGAAGCTGCCAACGTGCTGTCCTCAGGACAGGCCTGCCTCTCGTGTGACTGCCCCGTCACCTGCATAGACCTGGTTTGTGTTCATGATGCCTTTGATCCAAACATGTTCACTGTATGAACACAGCTCAGCCTCAGCATCGATTTTCCCCGGAGACGACAAGATCAGTCATGGAGGAGGCCTGTCCCCTTGAACACTGGACACATCCTGCCTGCAGGGCTTTCGGACAGGGTTGCCAGTCCTGATCGCCCCACCCCAGACCCCTTCCCATCCTGAGGGCCCTATCCCCCCGTCCACCTCCATCCTCACGCCAACCCCCAGTGATACCCTCCCTGCATGCACCCACAGAGAACGGGGAGTGGGAGATTGTGCACCGCCCAGCTAGGATCAACGTGGACCCCAACACCCCTCTGGACAGCCTCGGCCACCAGGACGTCACCTTCTACCTCATCATCCGCCGCAAGCCTCTCTTCTACATCATCAACATCTTGGTGCCCTGTGTACTCATCTCCTTCATGGTCAACCTGGTCTTCTACCTGCCGGCGGACAGTAAGCGTCAGTGCTTCCTCCCCAGACCCGCCTGAGTGTCCTCACCCTTCTCGCCGGGGACCCTGGGGGGCCCATGGTCACCTCTGGAGAGGCACCCTGACCCTGTCTGACACCCTCCAGTGCACAGGGCTCCTGGGGGCTTCATCTCCATGGGGCCCATGGTCATCTCTGGAGAGGCGCCCTGACCCTCTGACACCCTCAGGTGCACAGGGCTCCTGGGGGCTCCATCCCCTCCCCAGCACTGCTCTGCCTCCCATGATGGGCTTTCCAAGGGCTCAGGGAGAACCCTGAGAATGTCCTTGTGTCGCCCTAGGAGCCCCGGGCCTGGCTCCCAGCAGCTCTTCAGCTGCTTAGTTGTGGGGTGAATAATGGTGTCCTTCAGAAGCCAAGGTGGGGGGCTCTATGTCAACTTGGCCGCAAGAGGCAATCCTGACATAGTTCTGTCCAGGTTCATACCTACTGGTAATTATCACAAGTAGCCCGGGACTGATGTGACCCATCTCCTGGACATGAAAGAGTGTGGAAGCCATGGGCAGCAGCAAGGCCCGCAAGCCTGTGCCAAGAGAAGGGCCCCGTGTTACAGGAAGGGTGGCAGGGGCTGCCAGGTCATGCCAGCTGGCATCTGTGCAGTTCACACCAGCGCCAGCAGAGGGACAAGGGTTGACAAGCACTCGCTCACCTTGTCCTCACAATAGTCCACACTTCCCAGTCAAAGAAACTGGCACAGAGAGGCACTTAGCTTCTTGTCTAAGGCCACTCAGCTAGTTAGTGGCAGGGTCAGGATTTGAACCCAAGCCTCTGACTTCATAGCCCTTGATTTTAATCTGGGCACAAAGGCTGATAAGAAATGGTGGGAGAGACCCCAGAGGGATGCTCTGTCTCTAGCTGGCCTAGTGTGGGCTCTGCGGGGCTTTGTCGGGCTCCCTGGGGCCTGAGTTGGGTTCTGGTGCCAGGCTGGTCGGGCTCTGCCAGGCCTGGTTGGGCTCCGTGGGGCCTGGTTGAGCTCTGATGGGCCTGGCCGGGGTCTGCCAGGCCTGGTCAAGCTCTGCAGGCCCTGGTCGGGCTCTGTCGGCACGCGGCTCAGGCTGGACTTCCCCCAGGTGGTGAGAAGACGTCCGTGGCCATCTCAGTGCTCCTGGCACAGTCTGTCTTCTTGCTGCTAATCTCCAAGCGGCTGCCAGCCACCTCCATCGCCATCCCCCTCATCGGCAAGTGCGTGGTGCTCTGCTACCCCCTCCCCTCCCCACCACTTGTAACTGCTGGCCCAGCCCCATCACTCCAGGCCTGCAGGGTCACCACAGGTCCCCCTCATCTCTCCCTGCCTCACCCCAGCGTGCCAGACCATCTGCTCGGCTTCGCCCCGGGCCACGCCCACTTCTCTTGCTTTACCTCCGGGCACTACTTGACCTCCCGGTCCATCACAACCAATTCAGGGCCCTGCCCATCTCTCTGGGCCTGCCATTCTTGGGTTAGCCCGCTTTCCCGCCTCCCTATCGCAAGACTCTGCCCCACTCACTTGACCCCGACTTCCAGATCCCTTGCCCTGCCCCCCAGGTTTGGCCCACCCACTTGGTCGCGTCCCCCAGGCCAGTTGCCCTGGTCCTACTGCCCCATATCTCACCACAGTCAGCTCAGCCCCAGCTCTTCAGTCAGCCTCCTGCCCCAGGACCTCTTCTGGCCTCCGACCATCACGCGCCCCTGCACTGGCCCTTCCCCTCCAGGCCCAGCCCCTGCCCA